ACTTCAACATTTAGTCAAGTTAAATTTCCAATACCCACCCACCCATTTCCCATTATAAATATTATATAGCTGATCCTAAATAGTTTATCCCGGATACAGGTAAATTTAACATACTAAGTGCAAACTAGTCGTGTCAAGTGACACCAGAGCCGAGAAGGCAAAACAGTCGTGTCAAGTGACACCAGAGCCGAAAAGGCAAAGCAGTTGTGTCAAGTGACACCAAAGTCGAAAAGGCAAATTCCTCGTGTTGGATGTCTTGGCATTCAACTTGTAGAGTGGATTACGCTGTACTTATGACCCAACGGCCTGGAGCCATGGCACATACAGCTGGTCTGTCTCTTTCCGTTTACATTTAAGCTGAAGTACGTGACCCAATCGGCGATTCGCCACGGCACGTCCAGCACAACTTTTGTATTTTAGGCTGGACGCTGCTGTGACTCTTCATTTATACGATGTTAGCACTGCTGGTGAACATTTTCTTTATTATTCCACCATCATGCCAATTTATTCTCTGAACTTACAACTACGTTTAAAGCGCCCAAAAATGACTACAAAAGAATATCTTTAACTTTATTTTTATTGTATTTAATTGTTTTGTTTTTTTATCACTTTGTTCTCTGGCAGTAAATACATATATGCCCAACTCGCCACTATATAAATAACAATCTTCTCATAGAGAGATCGACATGAAAGTTTAATTAGATGAATGAATTAATACATGAACTTCAGACATCAAAGAAAGGACAAGTGGCGCTAAGGCCATTTTTTTGCCCAAAATATTTTTTCAAAAAGAATTACATATTCGGAACCCACATTGAATTCTAAGTAAAGTGACGTATTTGTTTTCATGCAGAAATGGCTTTCATTTTTGGCCTGTCTTTCGGCACCTGTAGGGAAAACTAGGACCGTCGAAAAACTTTTCTTTTGAATTTTATTAAATATAGCACCACTAGATGCAGAATTTGATACTGATTCCGAATTTTATGCTGGAGTTTATAAAAAAAAAAGGAAAGTTTGATGGAGAAAAATCTATTATACCGTAAGATCTCGATATAGACCTATTTTTAGTTATTGCCCTCGAACAAGGTAGTAACGCAATTAGAAAGTCTAAAATGCAGTTAGTAAAGTGTAAAATTACCTTTCTAATCACAGCCACATAAAAACAGTTGGTTCGAGTCGAGTTTCAGATAGCTTTAGAGTCAAGCGTTTGAGAAAGCGACAAAAAATCACGTTTTTGACCCCCTTCATCTCATATAGTAGGGTAACGAAATCTCTAATCAATGAGTGACATATATATAGATTGATGTAGTTTTTTATGTTCTTTCAGAATATGACCTCAAAAATAAGAAACAAAATGTGAAACAGGCTTAAATCGTGGAAATACGGATATGTGACCACATTTCACAGGGAGGTTCCTATATAATTTTTGAGTTTTTTTTTTCTATTGGCAATGCAACGATGATCAATTTGGACAAAGTGAGCAATAATTGAAGCTGTATTTATGTTGACAGAACCATTAGACACTGTAGGGTGTGGATGGGTGTTGGGTATGTGTGCGTGCGGCTGCTCTTTTTTCTACCCCCACACTAACACCCACACCCATCCACATCCCTTCTCAGCGTTGAGGTTTGGCTACATAGAATTTCGTCTATTTTGGTAAGAAAAGTGCATATATGGAATTAGGTTTCTAATGTAACTTGTAGAGTTTTTAACGCTGTTTCTTATGGTGTATTTTATTTTAAAATAAACATACTAGGTGTTTAAGAACGAGTTGCAAAAAGTGGAAATTCGTTTTGAGTGACCTATTAAAAGTTTAAAAAACATAGAAGCTTATCGAAGGGAATTCATGTAACAAAAACGATAATATTCATTGTATTTGAGGTCTTTTCAATCGGCAATTGCTATGGCGATAAGTGTCCTCTTTAATACGATGTTATTATTGGATGACGCTTCGTTATGTAATCGCATAGTGTTATTTGACCGAGTAAAAAGAACAGAAGATATATGACGTATCCATACATTGCTGTTAACTTGCCATAAAGTAAGATGATATTTTCTTCACATAGGTTACTATCTATGGACATATAATATAATTGTTTCGATCGACAGCAAAAATTTCGTCTTATGTTTGGCCTCCTTATATTCTATGATAGATATTATAAGACTCTTGTCTTGCCAGAAACTTTAAGTCAGCATGACATTGCATTTTTTTTTGCTACTCGCTTTTTGCCACTGTTATTTTCATATTTATAAAAGAAACGTCCTTTTCAGATACATTAAATTTGTCTACATCCTATACTTACCAATTTTTTTTTGGCGATACTGCCGTCAGAAAAGCAAATTTTCGTAACATTTGATATATTCGTTTGGCTTGAAATCTTTACGGTGAATGCAATTTAAGTTGATACACTTATCGTACAAAAATTACTTTACATGAGTTGAGTGGTAGTACCAGGTACATAAAATCGTGATCATTTTAAGTATTTTGTATTATATGTATATATTATCAAAGGATTGTTATAGAGAGCTATCATTTTAATCAAAAAAGGATTCCATTGACCAGTTATTCGCGTAAAGATTTTAGCTCATGAAATAGTGCCTATGGTTGAGCAGACCTTCAAGAAAATCACGATTTTGGGAGGGTTGACCTCTCGAACAACTACCCCTATAGAAGTCGGAGTTGTATATATTTAAACTACAGACTGAATACTACAGAGTTATCTAAGAATGTATCTGAGCCATAATACAGTGACACTATGAATACTGGCGAATAATCCTCAAAACAAAATGGCTTATTCTCTATATAAAATATATTTAAGTTCATACGAAAATTCACAAAAACTTGCTTCGAATGAAATAAATTCTATCTACTCTGAATCAGAACATGACCCTCTACTACGTTACATAAAACCATTCTTCGAAGATCGAAGAAACTTCTTTCAAAAGCTTTATATAACCTCTTCAGAGTATCTATCTTAAAGAAAAGGAATCGGCGCTTATACTTCTCTCGACTAAGTTTTTTCTTTCATTTGCCTATTTCTCGATTGAAGATATGAAGTCATTAAACTACACCTTGCACATATTTTACATTCACAAGAAGTTTCTTACTGTACGAAAAGAACCATTTCTATAGAAGATATCATAGAAATGGCTAGTATTCAGACATTTTCACTATCGAAAATCGATTTGTATAAAAAAACAAATTTCATACTCAGAATCAGCATGAAAAAATACACCAGAAACTATTTTATTCATTTTTAAAATTTTTCATGTAAATGCTACCTCTAATCTCCCTCAGTCTTGTAATCCTAAAGCTTTAACCAGTACCCCGACGGATCAGAAATCTGATGGAAAAACTTTACGATGAATAATAGAGTTTCTTGTGTATTTTTTCATGCTGATTCCGAATATTATTTTATTTTTTTTTAAATAAAAGTCAACTTTCAATAGTAAAAATCTCGAAATATTAGCTGTTTTTTATGATATTTTCTATAGGAATGATTCTTTTCGTACAGTATAAGGTTTCATGCAACTATAATATATGTCCAAGGTGTAGTTTAATGATTACATATCTTCAATCGAGAAATAGACAAATGGAAAAGATACTTAACAGGTAAAGTATAGAGGCCAAGTCCCTGTTTGAGAAAAATACCATGAAGCAGTTACATAGAGTTTTAAAAAGAAATTTTTCAATTTTTGAATGCTGTTTTCATGTAACTTACAATGGAGGTGTTTGTACTGTCCGTGAGAAAAATGGGATATATTCGGGTCAAATGAAAGCTCTCACCGAGAAACTAACAAGGTTAAAATATTAGCTGCCCTTGGCTTACCTAGGGGACGATATTCGATTTTTCAGGAGATTTTCCCTGCAGGACCCCAGGTTTCCAGCAAAATCATATTTTCGAATTTCGACCTAAAACTTTGCACACATGAAGGCCTCGACTAGACTAGCTTAAAAAAAAAATTTTACAAGTTTTGGACAATCTCTCACCGAGATATGAATTTCTCAAAATATACAATATCTATGGAAAAGCGTCTATATTTTGAGAAACTCATATCTCGGTGAGAGATTATCCAAAACTTCTAAAATTTTTTTTGTAAGCTAGTCTAGTCGAGGCCTTCATGTGTGCAAAGTTTCAGGTCGAAATTCGAAAATATGATTTTGCTGGAAACCTGGGGTCCTGCAGGGAAAATCTCTTGAAAAATCGAATATCGTCCCCTAGGTAAGCCAAGGGCAGCTAATATTTTAACCTTGTTAGTTTCTCGGTGAGAGCTTTCATTTGACCCGAATATATCCCATTTTTCTCACGGACAGTACAAACACCTCCATTGTTAGTAGAAGGTCGTATACACTGATTCAGACTCGATTGATTTATTTTCTTTAAAGAATCTTTTGATAAATTTTTCAATGAACTCAAATATAGTTTATATAGAAAAATAGGTTATTTATCAATAGTGCTTCTGAAACTAATCTACAACATCTCAGGTAAATTCTTGCATGAATTTGTAGTAGTTAGTCTATAGTTTTAATACATAAAATTTTAACTTCTATACGGATGGTTTTCTGGGAGATGAAGTCCTCCCAAAATTCTCTTCTTCGTCAAAACCATAATTTTGTTGAATGTCTACTGAGCAATAGAAAATATCTTCATAGCTGAATTCTTTTACCAGCATAACTACTCAATGAGGTTCTTCTATCATTATAATAATAGTTTTCTAATACAATTCGTTCATGAGATATGTATATTCACAAAAGTACGAAAATAATATTTTTTTTGTATGCCTGGACTACTACTGAGCTCATGTAAAATCATTTTGTATAATAAGTGTATCAAATGTTACAGAAAAAAAATACTTTTCTGAAGATATTTCCCTCCAAAAAACGGTACACGACTGTCATCGAAATTCTTCTCTCTATAAGGATATAATAGACTGATCAAATTCGTTGCGATATGACTTTTAAAAATAAAACCATTTGAAGATAATTTTATTCAAAAAAAATGACATCTTGGCTTGTATATCCTTCATTACCAATGGGTAATGGTCGTCGTATTGAACTAGCTGGTCTTGATTTATGGATTTGTGCACGTGTCGATAATGCATTTGTTTTTCCGTCCGAATTGGATATTGATCGATTTAAAGATGCACTAAGTCGTACACTTTCTCTATGGCCTATAGTTTGTGGTCGTTTTCTTGTCTTCGACAATGGACAATACGTAATCGAAATGTCCGATAATCCAATTCGTGTGAGCTATGCTGAAAATAATGAATTGACAAAATGGCCAAATGATTTCAATATTGTTCTTCAACTTAGTAATAATCCACTTACAGCATTCATTGATGAAGTACAAACTATAAAATCAGTTTATGGTTCACAAGAGGAACCACTTGTTTATTTCAAATTAACTCGTATTGTAAAAAGTGGGGAATGGGTACTAGGAGTAAGTTGGGAACATTTACTTGGTGATGCTGCGTCGTGTTTACATTTTTTAAATACTTTATCACGTATTTATCAACAATTGACACCACTTGAACCATTTCCTATATTCGAACGATGCTTATGGCAAGAAGATGAAGTTGATCAATCACTTTTGCCTATAATGAAACAATTACGTGATGCTTTACCTCTAAGAGATATGTTAAAAAATTTTATAGTAATACATGCAAAATATGATCAAGTAAATTTACATTTTTCAAGCGAACAATTAGACAAATTACGTGAATTAGCTGGTGGAAATAATTTAACTATTCAAGATGCACTTACAGCATATATTATTGTCACACTGAATAAATATTGTTATAAAAACGATGATGAACATCTTATCCTACGTACGAATACTACTGTTAATTATCGTGGGGTTTCTGATTCGATTGCACCAATTGGACAAGTGTCCAATGCTATTTTGATGATGTTATCTGATAATTTTGATGATCCGTTTTCATTATCAAACGTTGCAAAGACTATTCGTATTTCGATCAATCGATCCCGCGATCCGAAGTTTCTCAAGTCATACCTTGCAACTGCCGATGGATTAATGAGGAGCATAACTCGTAATAATTTAACTCCGAATGTCGGCTACTTCGCCAATGAAGTAACTGTAAATTCAAATTATCGATATGATTGGGTCGATTTAGTTGATTTTGGTTACAAAGATCAATGCCGTCTCTATACAGCATGGACTGGTCCACTGTATTTTCGTGTATTTCGATTAAATCCAATAGAAGATGGTCATGGTGGTTTCAAACGAGATCGTAATGGAGCTGAAGTCGCTTTTTTGATTGACAAAGATAAGAGAGTTGCACTTCTTAATGCATGGAAAAAAGATATTAATGAGAATTTCGTAAATGTCAAACAATAAAATAAAAAATAAAACTATTGAAATTATGCCTTTCAAAGTGCATAGCCAATGAAAAGAAAAGGAGTCTATGGGCTTTTTTATTTCAAACTGAATTCTAAAATCAAAAAAACCGGGCCAACTTCTTCTGAATCAAACTTTTCTCGTTTGATACTACGTAGTCCCACTAAAAACCCTTAGTCCCCCCTAGTCCTGCAAAGTCCCCCTTAGTCCCCCCCACAAAAAGCTTAGTCCCCGCTTAGTCCCTTGTGCAGGGGGCTAAAGCCTATAGTACACAAAGCCACAAGCACACCCTCACCCTCACTCGCGCGCCCACACCCGCACCATGGGTGTGGGTGTGTGTGTGGGTCCCAGACCAACACCTACACCCTCAGTCACTCCTCCCCCTCACTCCTAGACTCACGTTTCAGTTTGAAATCAAGTATTATTTTTATTTGATAAATTCAGACTGAAATTAAATAGCCCATAGTATGAAGAAAAGAGTATGGATGTGGGATTGTTACGTCCGTAGTGTTTCCCAACAGCTGTAAAATGGAGATGAGATGTTCCTTCTCGAGGGTGTGGGTGTGAGTGTGACCGAATAGGAGATCTATCTACATCCGCACACTCCATACCCACACCCTTCATGAGCGGTCACCACCAACTCACGAGCTAGTAAGCGTTCACATAGTTAAGCGAATGCAAGTTATAGGAAAGGTTATTCACAGACCCGGCTCAGAGGAAAAGAGCTGGTAAAGAGATCCGCTCACAGAAAAGAACTGGTCTATTTGCCCAGTTCTCAAGAAAGAACAGGTCACTTTGCCCAGTTCCAAGAACTGGGAACTGTACTAGGCTTATTTCTCACAGGCTCTAATACAATGAGAGAGCAATTGTATTGGCTCACAAATAACTCGCGCTATGACACTCTCATCGCGACTGCAACTGAGTACCATGTTTACAAAGATAGACAAATGGAAGACAATGAAAACTGGCTTACACGCACGATCACCACGAACAATGAAGATGAACGCCAAGAAGCATGAGGCCAAATACATTTTGAATGTTTTTCATTCTTTAAGAAAAATAAAAGAGTCAAACAATGGTCTTTACATGAGAAATCATTGACTATATTCGAAACTTGCATATTATTGATCGGTTTTTGGAATATTTATGTAAATACGATATCGAATGTAAACTTTTTTGTAAAATCCAGCGTGGACATATGTTACTATTAAATGAACATCGTTGTCCACATACAATAAGTTTGATTTTAGCGAACATTCAATTGAAATTTCACAAATAAATATTCATTTTAAAGAGTATTTAAAAATGTACTTATTATGTGAAAATAAAGGTTCTAGCTTAAGAAGTAAGAGAGTCAATAAAGAAAGTTTGTTACATGCATTTTTGGTTCTCCAAAAATAACGGATGGGGCAGATTAAACGGCCGCATTTTGGATTTCAATTTTTCATCATTTAATACATTTTATTAAAAAAACAAAATATACCACAAGATGCAGCGTGAAAAGCTCTACAATTAACAAAGAACAATTTATTCGTTAAAATTGCTCAAATAATTGCAAAAATATATCGATAGGAAAATTGTGGAGAACTTTTTTTCCCACATATTAATATCGTATTCTTGGTATAGATATTAATAATTTATTTGTAGAAGAAGATTACTGACGTGCACTGGAAATATCTACTGATCTAATATGTAGTAAACTACTGAATTCAAGTATTTGGAAACAATTGTCGAAAATAGAAAAAAACAAACGCTTTGGAGTATTACGTAATTCTAAGATTGAAGACTGTATAGAGAAAATGACGATATGGGATTGGACAAGGTTGATGACGGAAAGTGAAGATGAATATGAGCAATTTGATAACAAGTTCAGCGATAACTATGATTGCGATGGGTAGAAAGACATAGTTTGATGTGGTGAAAGATTGTGCAAAACTGAATAAATGTTTTTTATCTTAAACAAAACTTCTATTTTTATGGTTATGTTTAATATTTTTTATTAACATATAAGATATTTTTGAGACATAATGAAAGTTCAACCGGTAGAGACTTTTCAGAGGCAAAGTTCGTTAATTACCAATATGCATTACACGACGTGGTCAACAAGACTACTTCACTGAATTGCATTGAAAGTGACGTCTGTCTATGCAAAGGTATGAATTATATTGTTATTTGTACTTTCAACAAAAACAATGTTCGTTACTTCTCGAAAGAATGATTTGTTGTTGATTGCAAAAAGAGTTAGACTTAAAATAGAATGGCATGTAAATGATAATGTTCCACTTATGCTCTACAAACATATCTGAATCTATTTTATCCGACACATGTATCTTGCGTGCATTTCTTTTCTAGCAAAATGTAATTTCATTTCTTATTTTTTATTTTTTTGCCACTTCATAGGACTACACGATATTGTAGCTCATATATTCTCATTAATATAAATCAACTCTAGATAATCAGTGACGATGAAAAAGACGCATATCTGAATTAATAATAATGTGAGAAAAAAGCCTAAGAAGATAATTAATATTTAACATCGTTCATTCCTTCGACAAGCTAACGTTTCTGGTATCTCACTCTCATTAATACATTGAAAATGACAAGCTCTATGATTAGCAATGAAATTCTGCGTCTACAATCAGTATCTGACGCACTTAATGGCTATCTCGCTCTAGTTGTTCTTGCTATGGGTACCGTGGGTAATACATTGAATATTGTCGTATTTATTCGTATCAAAAAATTTCGTCAAATGTCGAATTCCATCTTTTTATTGACTTCCTTTGTCGCTAGTATAATACTTGTTTGGACAGGCCGTTTTCCTCAAGCTTTAACTATTCTTACTGGTATTGATATAGCAGCAGCATCACCATTCTTTTGCGCATTTCGTGCTGTATTCGGGCGTATCAGTCAAAATTTGGCTTTGTTATGTATTGGCTTAGTCAGTATCGATCGTTTCCTTATTACTTCACGAAACGAACGTTGTCGACGTCTTCTTACTAAGTTACGAGCTACTCTTATCGTGACAATATTGTTTCTTATTTATTTAGCAATCTCTATTGAAGATGCTATCAGCTATTATTGGGCACGTTCATGTAAATCTCCCAATACACCTTTTGCATATACACAATTCGTCTCATACTTTAGTTGGGTTGTCACTTTCGGTGTACCATTAATTCTAATAACAATATTCAGTTTGTTCACTTGGCAAAATCTTCGATTTTCTGTGCAGGGTCGACGAAATCGTCTTCAACAACAGGTTAATCGAATGATGTTTGCGCAGTTCGGTTTGATGTTTCTTAGTACATTGCCTATTGTCCTAATGAGAGTTTATCGGTTGGTTACTGAGTCGCAAAAGAAATCTTTACTACAGAGTACACAGGAAACTCTTATATTTTATGTTGCTACCACTATCGGCTATGCATCACCGATCGGATCTTTCTATATTTATTTTATTGTATCACCAGTTTTTAGACAGAATACGCGAACAGCTCTAATTTTCAAGAAATTCACTCGTGTCACACCATTTACTTTGCGAGAGCCACGCATTGCAACAAATCCTACGTAGCAAATATCTAACGTCGGCCAGCGTCTATTTTATTCTTTTTGTTATTTATTTATATTGCTTGACTAATTAATATGGTGGGTTAATAAAAGGGAATATACTTTATGATCAGTAAATGAAATACTTATAAAATCAGTAATTAACTCGTTAACTGTCAAATTTTTTTTTGAAACTTTACAGTAAACTTTTTGTACAATAACTTTCAAAAATTCACAGATATTTTTAGATTATAAGATAGGCAACTTCTGCGACAAATGTTTTATTATTTTATATAGAAATCAGAAGTTGTTTGCCAATAACAAAGCACAAAAAACTTAATCCTACAAAATTGTTTTCGAAATTTCAAGCTCTGTTCAAAAATTCAGTAAAATATGATACACACAAAAGCATGAATCAACACAAAGTGCAACGCTATAAATAGCACATTCGTATGTGCATTCATGTTTTGCTCAATTATTTATATTTTCTGTATTCAAAAATGGCAAATTTAATGCAGTAGAAACAACCAATTCAATAATAATATTTAGGAGCAAATTCATACTGAATATGAATACTGGTACAATTGACACAGAAGAACATAACTGATATAAAACATCAAAACTGGTGGAGTGAGATTCAGTCAGTGCAGTACGTTAGAGTGAATACGGCACATGCAAAAAAAGCTAAGTTAACGAGTTGTAGTCTTCATTTTTTCCATAAAGATCGCATTGACGTATATATATGTCAATAACAGTTAAGGGATTAAATGAAAGAGCAGTAAATTCTTTTTATCATCAGTCATTAAAATGATTCGGTTTGTAAGTCAATTTAAAAAACAGTAAATGAAATTTATCAACAGTCGATTATATTAAATAGTCAGTATAAAAATTGAAATGATGATAGAGTGAATCACTTTTCTTTTTCTTGCTCTTCAACTGTTCTACATGTTCTCGTTGTTCTGACCTACTTCTTTTAACCTTCATCTTTTGTAGCTAAGAGAAATTATTGTGTTAATTCTTATTGTTCGTCATCTCAAATAAAGGGAAAGAAGATTCTCGATTTCTTCCCTCGTCGTTGTCTCTATTTATCCCCATATATATATATATATATATATTTTTCATTAGCTAATGACCTATATATCATGAGAATATATCTATTAGCAAAACAAACAAATTTTACGTTTTATTTTTCTGAAAATTTTTTTTCTATTCCTTTTCATCAGAAAAATGATAAAAATATTGTTCAAATTGAGAATGAACTTCATATAACATATTATTTTTAATATCATAAATAACCCAATATTGATTTAGTATTTAGTTTAATTGAAATAACTTCATCGATCGGTGTTACTTCGATAGGATATATATATTGAAAAAGGAGGATGTGATTACGCCTCTATGTAAAATGAACATAATGTAAAGCAGTGAGTAAATTCTGTTTGCTTAGGATGTGGTAAACTCTCTCTCTCTCTCCACGAGTACATTCTTTGATTAATAACTCTTATTAGAAATAAATTCCAATATTTATTTATTATTTAATACATATATATATTTAAAAAAGTTAACTTGCGTATAGTTTTAATTGGTGAAAGATTATTTCGCTTATTAAAAAAAAATAGATATATGATAAATCGATGGAATAAATATTTAAGATAGAAAGAAATAAAACAAAAGTTAGTGCAAATAAATGAAAGGCAATCATCTGTAATAGGCCATACTTGTTCAAATATGAATTGATTTAAAAAATGTCATTTTCTTTATAAACTCTATGAGTAGTATTAGTTTATTTAAAATTTTTAGATTTAAATATTTGAATAGCGTTTTTATTTCGATAAGATAATCATATTAGCATAATTCCATCATAATGATAAGCACATATTTTTTAATAATAACAAAGCAATATTTATCTTATCAGCATGTAATGGTCCACATTTAAAAAATTGTTGACTAAAAATTTAAAATAATATAACCTACTATAGAATTTGTTTTATTTGAACGTACAACAAAGCCAGCTAATGAATAAATATGTTAACGTAATTCCTCAACATATTCTATACGATATGTTGGATAAATCTTATAATCATATTTTGCAACATCAATTATATCTGATAATTCGTATGATTCAATATTTACATCTTCATCAACAATACTTTTCCAACGAAACCAACTAAAGAAAAGGATGCTTGAAAACCATAAAAAATTATTCAGAAGTTTTTTACTCATTTATTTATTTATTCATGCTAATTTAAAATTTCGTTGGAATAAACATAATTGATATTGAAATAGAAGGGTGTGGAGTGTGGGCGTTTTTCTTTTCATCACCTATACCCACACCCAAAACTCTACCTGAATCGGTCTCTTTGAAAAAAAAACAGCAGAAATCGTCCTTTCTGATTCGAAACTTTTCACTTTGATAGGTGAGCTCAAGTGAAGAAGAACAGCTCTTTGCTGAAACCAAACGTCTATAAGTAAATATAATGAAAACTGGCAATCGTTTGCTGAACCGTTTACAGTCAACGTATTCGATCACTTACGATGGTACATAGTAAATGAATTCATTTAACATTCGAAGTTTTCCACCATAAATCATACTGATACGGTCTTGTGCGCTCGAGAAAGATCGATGTATCCTCTAACTCGCCTCTTTTCTTTCAACTGATTATAGTGTTGTTTTGTTCAGAAGGATACACACAATTCTCGAAATCTTTCCTATGCACTTAGTTGTGAACTCCATTTATTCGATAAAAAACACGGACAAGGTTTTCATTTTTTCTTCATGCACTACTGGATACTTTGTTCATGGTTCGTATTTATTTCCAACTTGATGCTTCTGGTTTTATAAAATACGAATATTGTATCTATCGCCAATATCACTATGGATGTAAGCAGATAGTACGTAATCAATTTGCCGGTTAAAACCTTCCATCCAAGAGCTTGCTCGGCAAATGCGGCTGAAAAGAATGATATCGATATACTAAGCATAGTAATTGCTTCGTATAATGAGTGTACTTTTTCTTTTTCTTCTGGTTTGTGAGATTTCATCAGCAATGCTGATGAAGCTACATATCCAAAGTTCCATCCAGTACCAACAAAAACCAGACCTATATAGAAAGAACTAATTGCCAAATTACGTTGAAATAGTAGTGCTCCTATCAATTGAGTAAAAAGACCAGTAAGCATAACCAGTCGATTACCAAACCAGTTACACAAGGTTCCAGAAAAAAACGATGGAACAAACATGCCTAAAAGATGGCATTCGATAGCAGTTATTATTTGACGAAAACTGTAACCAACGCCATTCATTGCTAGAGGTGTAGCCGACATTTGAATGGACATTGATGACCATGATACGAAGCCAACAAAAGTGGCAACCAGAAATGTTCGTTGGCCAGCTATTACAAATATTGAACGACCACCTAGACTAGAATTACTGTTCATTGTCGTTGATGATGAACTTGATATATGTGCGGCACATTCCTTCTTCACTTGGGGGAACTGGATAATTGTCATAAGGAGCAGAAGTAGCAAGCATTCGCCTAATGTTACTACATAAGCTCCACTGTACGGCTTCGGCAGTATGTTTACTGTATGTGTAGCAATTTCTGGCCTAAAGCAAAATCCAAAGTAGCATAGATAGAAAAGCTTTCGACAACATCTATCAGATCAATACATCACAAACTATGAAGCCACTTTCAATCCAAGCATGTGCTTCTATCAGATCTCCTACTCTTCATAACGAAATAATACGAGCAAGTTCTCGACATATTTGCTGTTATTAGTGAAATCACTCTAGATATTGCACTTTTGTCTCTATACACCTCATCACTCACCAATACTTGCGCTTTAGAATGTCGATGTAGACACATATTCAGTCCATCTGAACACAAAGACTCACATCCACAATCAAATTCTGTACTATTCAAATTCACATAGAGCCTTTGCAGAGATCTTTTAGTACCAGGTTTAATGCTTTTGGAAAGCACGATTTGTAACTAATGTTGCAGCATTTAGCGATGACAATGACCCTTCTCTAACTGCTTAACTGGTCGTACAGATCGCGGTGAACATTGAGTGACTTTATATGGGTTTGTCACGATCGTTAGTAGTCTTATGCGCTTTTCAATGTGTTATTTATTCGTTCCTAAAACTACTGTGATTAGTGATGGAACCATTGGAAGAGCTTCTGGGAGCTGAGCTCCTGTTGGACCTGAATTCTGACTCCATAACTAATTGTGATAGACATGCATGTATTGCTTTCGTGGTCAAACTGATCTAACCTGATTTCATATTTTAATGCCACATAAATTATGCTGGAACATTTTGGCATAAAATGCTTCAAGTAATTTTGGAGATGAGAGTTTTCTCAACTTAAAATATCAGAAATTTTCAATAGACATTCAACAATCTATCTAGTCAGAAGTATTCAGTTCTTTTGTGGTCTTCCCTAAAATTGAACAGCCTTTTGTTCTATTCATTTTCGTGACCTTTACGATATCGATTTTGTTAGGAGCCGTAGCTGTTCGGTTCAAATATTTTGTCAGAAAAATAATTATAGTACACATAAGCCTACCCGAGTACCGCAGAGAAACAACCACCGGCTATGACCATTGCAATGGCTTTTGGAGCAAATTCTTGCGTCGAAAACTGCAATGCCACTAGACGATAGTACAATGTGCACGGCAATTGTCCACCTACAAATCCAGCACTCACAATCAACAACCAATAGAGCTTATGCCATGCTGCCACAATGCTAAGTCCAGCTCCGATGACACCCATTAGAGCACCAAAAAAGAATGATCGTCGGTATCCAAAACGAGCTATAGCACGGGGCAAAAATATAGACAAAACGGTACCAATTAAAAGCATTAAGCCGATAGGTATTGTAGCCAAATGCGAATTGGTAAAACTTGTGGCCGCTATCGTAGTCGTACTTATTTGAATATAATTTACCGCTTGACCAAGACTCCATGAACATGCCAATAGGAATACATTCCATAACATTTTTCGGAACAAAGGATCAGTCCATCGAGTGCGGAGACCTTTTAGCGACCAAAACGATGGTAGTTGAATATCAGTTGGATTCTGCTGTTGTGCAATACGGACTGATTCGGCATGTTGTGGAATGTCAAGTTTTGTGAGAGCTAAATCAAAATGACATATTATTCCGATTATTCGAATAACATAAAGAGCAAAACTGGAACCGTTTATGCACAACTTTTAATAATCTTAACTGTTCCTATCTATAAAATCTACATATTTTGTTACATACTCAGTCTGCTACGTGATGTTGTATTCTGTATTTTTCATTCAAAGTTCGTTCGATTTCCACCGATCAAAATAAATCTTTGAAAACATGAAAAAAGGATGTGTCAAAAAATCTGAATCTTTCCCATTAATGAGCATTTTCTGATTAAAATTAGAAAGTCTTTTAGAACGGAATAATACATTAAATATATTTTATGATCACAAAAGCAAATAGTCATTTGAATGTTCTTCAAAATATACTAAACTTTTTGAATGTTGCGAAATAGTTTCCAATGCAATTTAAATGAAACTCAGTAAGTCGTATTGCACTTAACGAGTTCAGACTCCCCTACTATAGAATGGCCGAGTTTGATCAGTTGCGTTCTGGCATATACCTGTTATTTGATTCGATTTCATAGAATCCATAGGGTTTAGTCATTTCCTACAACGACGACCGACCATAGTCAGTTATCCACAATTATTTGATGAAAATAAAAAGCTTCCCTACTAATTGTACGTACTAATCAGTGTAAGGCTTAAATGCATGAGTTCAGTTCAAAGAATCAATAGACTAGGCCAAGGTTACTAAGATACCTGTAACTTTTCAACTGCTATTTAGAAGCTGTGGCCCTAACATTTTTATGATCACTGGCGACTGTTCATGTAATTTTCTGTATTCAGTGCAGCTCTACGCTGAACAACCATATAAAAACAATCAAAAACAAGATTCGATGTATCTCAACTTAATTCCCTAAACTAAGAATACGAAAATGTGTATAAAACTCATTATAAAGCATATCCAGCCTAACAGTTACAAATACTATCATAATTATATATTAAAACGTCATATTCACCACAGTAAGAAATGCTCAGAGAAGGAATAATTACTATACAAGTTGTTGTCAAACATTAATTCATGTATTGTGAGACTAACAACGAAAAAATGCTTATAAGTGGTAACTTTATTATAAAATGTACAATCTATGGTTACAATAATTCGATAGAAACAAGATTCTTCAATAACATCTTTTAATATTACATTTCGTATCTCATCGACTGTATTCTCAAGTTAAATCACTGATAGTGAATTATATAAATGGCCAAGTTATAGCCCTGATTTTCATGTTACTGAAATAGTATGAGTATGAAACTTTATCAACAAAACGAAGTTTAAAAGAAGAACCCAAACATCACAACGTGAACTATAGGCGGTCGAAATATAAATGCTCCACTTTATATAGTCATATGCCTACTAAGTATATAAATGTAGAATGTATTCGAATACGCGAATGATATGCTTTGTTAGTTTGGCCTTTTGAGTATCGGACTCCCGCCCGCGCTCCACTCTCACAGTTGGATGGATGATGTGTATTAGGCGTAGTTCTTACAAGAACATCTAATTACACAAGCCGCATTAGGAAATATTTTTCTGGCGACTCATTTATAAACATAGGATAGGCTACATATGTAAAAAGATAGAACTCAACGTTGGGAGTAAACGAAAGTAGTCTATAGTGAAATGGCGAACGTTGCATGTTCTATTGACGATTATACAATATGAAAAAGCAAAATTTTTAGTGGTCTATATGATGACTGAATTATAAAATTTAATTGATATAACAATAAAGAACTCACATTTCTTCCAGTAACTATCGATTTATCTTTAAAATTGGAGATAGTCGATGGCTTTGAATACTTTTTGTAGTTATACAGGGACCCGTGCATGTCTCTAGCCAAAATCCATCGAAAAGTGAGATCATTTTAAGTATCAAAGAAATCAGTATGATTTAAATATAGAATAACTACCTAAAGTTAAAGTGATTGAACAGTTGTAAAAACTCTTTTGTGAGATAATAGCAGGTACAAACATTTGTTTCAGAAATATATGCTTTAGAGACTACTCTCGAAAACCGATAGATTCTAACACATTTCAGTTGTTGTCAAACGCCAGTTTCATTATGATTAACGGGGTACAATAAATGAATATCAAAGGAATGCTGAATTCTGACGATATATCCAGTAGTATTTACTTTTTTCCAAGGAAAAAGATCTGTACGACTCTGGCAATGTGCGATAATTAGTTTTGATAGGAAACCATGGGTTCTTTTCTGACGAAGTTCGTTACGTAATTCTATCACAAAGATTCCTAAGAAATCTGAGTTGGATCTGACTATTTTTTCTATAGAGATACCTGTATCCAGGGCAATCTGATGGTTTTTCGTTAGGATCCATACGGAGAAATGAGTCACCTGGCGAGTTGTAACAATGCTGAGTACAAATTGATTGTCTCAATAATTATCTATCGTTCATTCAACTTCTAAAATCTTACTATTTAAATCATGAGCAGCAGCACTGGATTCAACCATTCGTTGTTCTGTCGTATTAGCGTGTTTTGAATCTTCTATTTCACCATGTCTTAATGTTATTGTGTCTTGAGAGCATATATTATCATTGGTGGATGCCATGATTGGTACTTCATTTCGTGTACCACTGTCTAATGTTGTAAGGTGACATAATTCAATATCGATGACCACGTCGTTTTCAGAATTGATGCATTTATCTACGACATCGGATTCGACTTGGTTCGTAGATGTGTTCATCTAGAAATGACATAGGAACCTGTTCATCGTCTTCTTTTTTCTATTTTCAATCGCATCCATAAAAGAACTACCTTTTCTGAAGCAAAAAGTTCTCAGTTTCACATAGAACAACATGCTTTGTGACCATGATAAAATATTTGCTGTTGACTGTTGGACGCAGCACAACAACGACGGATCATTTCGGCTTCTTATCTTTTGTGTTTTTTTTTCCTTGCGTTCTAACGGTATATGTAAAATGATGCTTTATCAACATTAAGAAACACTGTGACTGCAAAAGATAACTATAACCGAAAGATTATCAGTTTGAATCTGCTTTGCAAATGTTTAGATCAATATAACGGTTTCTCTGTCGTTCATATTAAGGGTAGTTCAAAATTAGTGACAACGGGTGATTCATAATAAATGGCCGAACTTTGCGTTTCATATTTTGACCCCTAGATACCTTTCATTAAAAAAACAAACTATACCACAAGATGTAGCGTGAAAAGCTCTACAATTTATATAAGACCGTTTTTTTATAGTTGCAATTTTGTTTTCAAAATCGACTGAGCGATCAAATTTCGGCCGTGCAAAAATGATATTTGTTTTTGTACAAGATGGATTCGTTTTTTCTTATTTCATGTTTTTATCACCTAATATCTTTTGTTTAAAAAAAAACAAAATATTACACCAGATGCAGCGTGAATAGCTCTACAGTTTGCACACTAAAGCTTATTGCAATTGTTTTCAAAACAAAAAGGGAAATTCTCTGCGATCCATTTTCGCACAGTTGAAGTTTGATTGCTCCAAATTTCGCCTATTTTGAAAATAAAAAGTGCAACTGTAAGAAAAGTGGGCTAATGCAAAGTGTAGAGCTTTTCACGCTGCATCTTGTGGTATAGTTTGCTTTTTAATGAAAGGTATCTAGAGATCAAAATATGAAATGCAAAATTCGGCCATTTATTATGGATCACTCGTTATTTTTGAAGATAGTTCATGCCGTTGAAAATTTTCAAAGTTTATCAAAGTGAGAGTGCGTGCGGGTGTAGATGCGAATAAAACGCACTCAGTCACAGTCACACCCCACATCCACAACATCTGGCTGATGCATTACGAAATAATACAGTAATACTCATTGTCTCATCATCTCTCTCATATCCTCGACTGCAATTTCTCACACAGACACTCACTACATTAAGTCTCATACGCAATGAAATCGATGACCAAGCAGCACAATATCTGGTTGATGCATTAGAAGTGAATACGGTAGCCGTCTTTCTTTTTCGATCTGTTTTATATACATATCTCTGCTTTTTCGCATAGACACTCACCACACTAGATCTGGCTTCGAACTCAGCTGAATGGAAACTTTCAGATCGTATACATAAACAGATTAAGCGTAATCAACAGCGAAACAGGCAGTGCTTGTTGGCTTGGAATACAGTTTTGGACTGAATTGAAATCGTGTCATCATCATGTGACTCACTTAATTACTTACATGCTTTTATTTACAAATAAAGACGCATCATTTTTAATTGCTTAATGATATATTGAGTAATGAATATGAGATGCCAAAATATGTCCTATTGATCTAGAGAAGAAATTTAGTTGCTCTCCATTGAAACATCACTCCCTGTTTGAACCAAGTCAAGAGGCATAGCGTTGACTTTGGTGTCGTTGTGGGGTGTGGGCAAGGGAGGTACATGATACTTCATACTTCGTGTACTTTATCTAGGTGTGTGGCTGTGAGTTTAGGTCTCTTCTCATATCCACACCAATTCCTGGATTGTTCAAGAAAAAAAGACGATTAACTTTTCGTTGACGACTTTTTAGAGTACGAATATTCAAGCGAAAAAAGATCTTATAACCAAATGAGAAATTCAAAACTGATTTTAAACGGTACAAATCTTTCTTGAGAATATCTATATAATAATAATACAAACATTTTTTTATTCCAAGACTTGATCAGATTTTTAGAAAATTAGTGACAACAAGGGAAAGTTTTTTGAAGTTCGATCTTGCTGAAAACATCACTCTAGATGCAATTTATGCTGCAGAATCTATTTCGAAGCTTTCAAAATTTTTTCGTACATTATTTATGAGATATTTGTAAATAAGTTTATAATTATTACTCAGCTCAATTATATATGAATATACTTAAAACACTTATTGAGAAAAAGAATGCTTGTAAACAATGAAAGTCAAATCCATATGTCTCGTTGTGCCTAAAATTGTTAATATATTTCGAAAAAATAAAATATTAGTATGTCAGAATAAAGTCAAAAAGTCTATTGAATTAATCTGCTGCACACACTATACATGAATCCTTTTAATATTCTGGAACTTTTTCGTAGTGTTGATGTCAAAAACTTTGGAAAATCGAATCAAAAAAACAAATCAATCTGAATCATCAAAGAAAAAAGTTCAAAATACTACCTTTTAAACAAATGCCATAATATTGAACTATTAAAGTGTCCCTTGGATATTAAACACAACATAATAGTTATATGCACAAATATTTATTTCTCAAATCAATCAAATATGAACAAATTAATCTCTCTCTCGTTGTTTTTATTAAGAATGACTAATGAAGACTTTTCTGATAATGAAAATGTTACATCTCATAGTAGATTATATCATTTCGAATACATCATAATCACACATTCGAATGTAAACTTTAGCAATAAAACATTTATAAGGAGTAGTACTAGACATATACAAATATATTTTTTCTTAAGATTATTATTTCGATATGTGAAGCAAGACAAGTAAATTAAAAAAGACAATACTATAAGTAATAATGAAGGCATCCGTATATCTTCTTTTCTTTGTTGGTCTCAGAAAAACTGAACATTAACAAATCTATTATTTTTTCTCTTAATATTGGAGCAATAAGATAATGAGATGTAATAGAAGATGACTATTTCTTCCTTACCGACATGATTAAAGTAAAAAGGACATGGATTTATCTATATACAAAATGGGCCATAAATTGTTCTATGCTAAAAAATTATTTATTTCCGCTTCACTTATCTCGAATGCACTGAGTTTGAGTTCATTGTTAGAGATTTATACAAAGTTTTCTTTTCATATGGTTATCGTAAACTATTCTTTCAACTGTGATCGAAAGTAAACATGTGCAAAGAAAAAATGTTGAAAACTGAATTGCGAACTTCTGGATGGCTTTTTAGCAAAATGTCAAAAAAACGAACGTATAAAAATAGATTATGGAAAAAACTATCGACAGGAAAGTGGCGAAAATCATAAGGTTGAAAAGTAAAGATGGTGAAAAGAAAATTTCATAGGAGGGACGTCGAAATTATGTCGAATTGTGGTGTAGTGAGAGTAGATGAGTTGCATTTTAATTCAGTACTATTTTTAATTCTAATGCACGTACTCACTATAAGTTTTTCGAGACTACCTGAACATGCTACCTATCACTTATAGGGGCAACCTAGATATACGATCGGCAACATGTCAGCTGCTGTCTAAATCACTCCAAGTGATACCTGTAGCATCTCATATATTATCTGTAGCAGGACTTGGAATTTTAGGGCGTGCGTGTAGATGTGTAGTGTGTGTTGATGGATAGGAATGTAGATCTTCTCGTTACCCACATCCACACCCACCCTTTTAGAGGCATCGAGGCATGTCAAAATCTGATGGGTCAGAAGCTGAGCAAGCAGGTGAGTTCTCTGTAGGTAATTTCAAAAATGGCATTCTAGATATATTTCTCATTTGGGTGTGAGTACGGCATACAATTTAGGGTTTTCCTTGAAGCTATCACACAAACACCGACATCCACACCGTTTATTTTCATCGATCATGGATAATGAAAATCAAAAGTATATTCGTGATGCTCGTGCTATAGACGAAATATGAATGTGATCGACTATATATGAAGCACTACATATAATCTACAAATATATTTTCTCATGATTTCAATGTTTCGACAAGCGAAGAGAGTTTTTCAAGTGATTAATTGCTTTTTCGTAAAAACATCTGATTGTAAGTAGTTCATGCCCTTAAATTCGTATATTGACTAAAAACTGTCATCTGATATTTCATCATCATATATTAACAAACTGATCATAACTGTATGATATCAAATAAAGTATTTAACAATGAAAGAAATAGCAAACGTGCATACTAATTTCTTCAAATATAAAACATTGGCACTGTGCGGACATATTTCTAAAACAAACGGTTCATTGAACGAGATTATGTAATATAATACATAAGATAAAACTATTTCCCTATGCTTTCATTATATCAAAAATATTAGCCTAGTTTTAAGGGGCTTCAGAGTTATGACACAGAATCTGGAAAGACTGAAAGATCTTTAGGCCCCCGATATTCGAAACTAGCGCAATGAGCCACAGATATGCATACATATTTCCTTGAAAAAGCGATTGTTCTCTCTTGAGGAACTTTCGCCGTATGTAGAAAGTTTGATAATCTCATAAAAGTTGAGTTCAGACCAGAGGTGCAGAATTTTCCAAAAAATCAAAAATTTCCCCACCCGAAGAAACTTTTCCAAAAATTTCCCCAATGTGTTTTTTTCGCCAACTACAGACTTACGAAAGAAGTAGTTGTTGAGGAAGGATTTTATGAACGGGTCTGCTAAATGGAGCGATGGTGCACTCAAATGTAACATCACTTCCTCATCTAATGACTCATGATTGACTGTGAAGAGAACGATGTTTCCCCTTATCACATTTTTTTTGTAGCTGATTTCCAAAATTTCCCCGAATAAGACAACTTTTCAAAAAATTTCCCTCCCCGTGCGGGGGCGCACGAGGAAGATTCTGCACCTCTGGTTCAGACTTGGAATGCGCTTCGCATCGAGATAGAACTGATATCATTTTTTACAAACCTTCATGAGGAGGTTGCGTTCCATTACAAAATAGATTTTGTTTTTTTTTATCACATTTCCAGATAATTAACAGCTATGAAAACTGCTGACAATGGATATTGAGTCATATAGATAATTAAATGATCAATCGATATCGATCGTTCAAAACGTGTTGAGATGCTTTGATCGACTTCTCATAGTCATGAATCTCATCATGTCTACTTTACAAATTCTTTCAGACTTCAATACCTCTAAAACATAAACATCGTTTGAGAAATGTGATTGCTGATGAATCGTAAAATTGACTAAATCTTTTTATGAGATATCATCTTTTTTCGAAAATTGAGATTTCATGCTTAGCATCACCTCGAAGCGCGAAAAAAAACCCTGTCTCTAAGAATTCCTTGTTTTGAAGCTCTGTTTATAAAGAGAAGGAAGCTCCTTGTCAAAGTTACAGAACAAATTGTTACCAGTTCGGTCTTAATATTTCCATTCTACATTGCAACAAGTGTTCTCTGATTTTCCGTTCTCGAGATCGTTGTGACAGAAAGCGACAAATTTTGATGTGTTCTACATCGAGAAAGAAAGAGAATTCGCCAAGGACTATATAAATGTTGTGCTTTGCATTGTATTAACAACAAGATAGATGGAAAGAAACGAGCAAGCATAAGAATTATTGAAGACAACACATATATGCATAAATATATATATATATAAATACGCTGATGATTCATCGGCACGAAGTCAAAGAGAAAAAAAGAACGTAAATATAACAATAATAATATTTATTGTTACTATATTACAAAAATCTACTACAATATCCTTAGATATATATCGTTTATTGCCTGTGGAAAGAGAGAGATTTTGGAAGTCATTTTTAATTCTTTTTGTTCAGATTGTACCTTAAATAGCAATACTGCTTGAGTACCCAGAAAAATTCAAAATGATTACTCGATTACCAACATTGTCAGGTATGACTTTTTATTATTTGAATTTTTTTGATTTTTTTTTTTTGTCGATAAGAAACTACTATCGTAAATATTTTATGAAGAATTATGGAATATGAATGACGAAAATAATAATAATAATAAAAAAAAAGAACGGAGAACAATATTTTGTTAGGTGATGTTATCGTTGTTGTAGTATGGCTTTGTAGCGTAACTCTATGGAAATATAGAAAATATGTAGGACAATGATTTCTGCTAAAAAATTTCCTTTGAAATTTAACTAACTCTGTGACAATATTGCAGATAATAGTTGTTTTTTTTTGCATGTTGTCTGAAGAATACGAAAAGAAATTTCTTAAAAATCATGGAAACAAAAATACAACATGGCTTCGTCTGAAGAAACAAAACTAAACTGCACACAGCTTTAAAAAGAATATTTTCTTTTTAAAATTTAAACCCGATGCCATCTCATTGCCGGTATAACATTTAACGCACATTTAAGTATTTGTCATTGTAAAAGAAGAAATTCATTTTATTTTTTAACTTCTATTATCTGTATACTAGAGCAGGTGAATCAAACTTTTATCTCTATACTTCTACATTCCGTTTAGATCGTGTTTTACAAAAAGATTCACTCGTTTTCTGCAAATTTTTGAAAAAAAATTTACATAAAGACGTATTCATCATCATACTGGAAATGAACAACAACCACTATACATGTGCAGTCCCTATAGTCATCTACGAGTTGTATTATAGATCTTAGTAACGATATTAACGTCAAAGAACAAGATAATTTTTTTCTAAGATACTAGACTTTATCCAGAAGAATGTTTGTAATAGATATGCTCTCTTTTCTAGTATATCCACGTACATTCCTTTGGTATCTCTTTCTTTTGTTTTCGAACTCCTCTATACGTATATATACACACCCATTGCTTACAACAATAAATTTGATTGTATTCGCCATACGATAAAACTTCTCTCGAACTTACAATTGATGAGAGATCGATAATATTTACGCTTTTGTTCTAGCTGATAAATCTGCATTGAAAATTCAAAGTGCATTTCGTAATCATCAAGCTCGACTTAAATTAAAAAATCAAGCAGTATGGCAATTACATGAAAAACTTGAATATTCAAGTGAACAAACTCAAGCAAAAGTAAGGAAAATATTTTTTTTTTCATCAATTTTTGTAATTATAATAGTATTTGAATTTTATACATTTCAGCTAAAAGATATGTTTGAAAAATTACTCAAAGCATCTGATTCACTTTCACCATCTGTTGCAAAATTACTTCAGAAAGCTCGATTACCTGTAGGTAATGTATTATTTAGAATTCATATAGACGATAGATAAAGTCGATTTTATTTTATCTAGAAGAAAGAGAACTTTTAAGATCAACAAATCCTGATAGTATTCCTGTTGAGGCTAGTTATCGTGGACCACGTATGCGATTGTTTTTTTTTAATGAAAATAAATTAATAGTTCATTTGTTTCTAGGTGTTGAAGGCCCAATTACAAGACATACATTTGTAGATTTAATTGAAGCTTTTCAACATGGGGAAGTAAGTAAGACAAATCATTCAACATCAACTACATAGTATTAGAATATGAAACATCATAAAATACTTTAAAGGGTTATACATCGATAGATGATTTAAAGGACTATGAGTAAGATCAAAAGTGTGCGCATTGATAGATTTTGACTATTCAGATTCAATAATAAATATCAGTATTTCCTTGAGAAACATGTTAATATAGAATAATTCTTTCTCAAAGAAACTACGTATCGAAATGATCTAACTATCTATCTTATGAAGGAATCGAACAAAGGGATTTATTTTTTCTTGAGATCATATTTTTAGCATATGCAAAGGATTTCTTGATTAGAACAATTCCATAAGTCTTCTTTACAGAGTTACGACTAGAGTTCGTCAAATTGACCGTGGTCCCAGAGCCGATCCAATGAGTGATGATCTAAAATTAACAGTCAGTTATTACTTGATTGTTATTTATAAAAAATATCTCGTATCTCTAGAGTAACTCCATTAAACACAGGTCAAATGATTTCATTTGAAATTAGGGATACAGATCAATTCAAGCCAAAAGTTGGACATAAGATTTTTGACCTAAAATTTCATGTATGAATAGATCACGAAGTGTTAAGAATATTCTAAAAATTTCATTCTAAAGAATTGATTTCTTCTTGAAATATTCAATGTTTAAAATCTGATTAGATTTCAGTGACGGTTAGAAAAATGAGGACGGCATTGAACACTTAAATAGTTCAGAAGAACATTAATCTATTTGAAAATTTCCTATTTATGAAGACTTGTTCTCCCGTAAACTTGAATTGATTAAATTTTAACTACTATTTTTATTTATTACCATTCCGATCAGAAGTATTATTACTTTACTCACACTTTTGTAGGTATATTAAGAGACTTGTACTGATTGATTACTAATATATAATTTCGTAATTAGTGAAACATTCATTTTTGAAAGATTTTTATGAGAAAAAACGAACGAATGCAAACAACATACTCATGAAAACATATCCGACTTTTTAATCACTTTCAGAAATTGAAAGCACCTTATATTAGAAATTTCAAAGCTTACGATACAGTGTTGTGAGTCTTCTATTCGGTAAAATCCACATCTAAGTTACACTAGTAAGCCTCCTTCTCCACAAGGTATGCATGTATGTGAACGTTTGGTTAAAATGAAAATTACGCTCTTTTAAAATTCAAATACAAGGAAGTATACTTTAAAATATAATCTACTTAATGGTACAAGTATTTTTTTACAACCCGTAAAACAACTGCAAAATCATTTGCCCAAAAATTAGCCTAAAAAGCGTGGTATCACTAGGAAAATCGATATCTCACAAAATTAAACCGTTCGACAGACAAATCAGGTACACATACTTTTCTTTAAAGTATCTTCCGAAGGATTAGTTCCGTAAAATGAGCAATCTACCTAAATTCAACCTCTTACTTTTGTTGAAGTGTTCTTCAGCCTATTGTCTCTAACTTCATTTAGTGCAAGACTCCTGAATTGTATAGGAAACTTCCAGAAAAAAATCTAGGTTTTTCAATTTTTCTGATTTCAGAAAAGCATTTAATCGACAAAAATAGTATATTCAAAATCAATCCATTAGGCTGAGCTATGTTCCCTTCGTTCTCTTCCTTCGTAAAATTTTTGAACACTTAAACATTTTAGAAGCCTCGATATATCAATATACAAAAAATATTTTAGTATTCTTCTCATTAGATTTTCTTCTTATGACACAAAAATATAATTGATATTGTAATCACTATAATTCGTAAAATAAAACTGAAAGTTTCATCTAAATAAATCTTTATATATTCATAGATATTACATGAAAAATATGTTTGTCACATTCTTCATGAAGCACGTGCTATACTCAAAACTTTACCAAACTATAATCGTATTGATTTATCTATTTTACATCATATATACATTATTGGTGATCTTCATGGACAATTAGCTGATTTATTACATATATTTAATGCGGTAAACTAAATATTCATAAGAATTTTTCGTTTTTATTCTTCATTTAAATTATCTATAGAATGGATTACCTGCTATTGATAATCCATATATATTTAATGGAGATTTTATTGATCGAGGTCGAAATTCAGTTGAAGTTATTCTCTTACTTATGATTGCATTGATTCTCTATCCAAGTTCAGTCTTTCTTAATCGAGGTAGTTAATTGTTTTTTTTGTTGATTTAATGTTTTTTGTTTTTTTTTTTTAATAAAATTGAAAAGGTAATCATGAAGATATAATGGTTGCAGCTCAATATGGTTTTCAAGATGAAGTTAATCGAAAATATCGAGTTAGTTCATAATTTATC